AGGGTCAGCATGCGTCCATGGCAGACGACTGTACAGCCATTCGTCCATAGCGTGATCGTGGAGATCGTCGGTGGGCTCACTGCGCTCACACCGTCCCCTGTGTCCATCCCGATTAACTAGAAACAAAGGGCATCTACTAGACGCAAGGATGCTACTAGTAGCTCCTGGAATTACTACTGTAATTATATACTAGTACATCTAGTAGCAAGAAGCTACTAGGAACAAGGCCCACATGAAACGAACAAAAAGCGGGGCGTCTCACGCTGGTGCAAGCGATTTCAGCTCCAAATCACCCGGCATAGATTCCGCAAACAGATGTGGAGCATAAGCCAATGGAGCAAAGCAGTACATAGTTACATAGCTGTAGTATAGCTCTAGTTTCACTTCGCCGACCATGGCTCCACGCTGACCTTTGGTAACTCGATGTTTCTGGACCTCGTCCCCGTGTCCACCCTTCGAGGCTTCCTCCGATTGTTCAAAGGAGTAGCAGCCCTGTGCCCGGACCTTGGGATCTGACACTGAGACTCAGAAGTCTCCATCCTCTTCTTCGGGCAAAACCCAACCGAGACCGCTGTGTTCTGGAACCGTTGGGTGCGGAAGCGAGTGGAGTTGAGTGGATTGCCAAGTGGATGTATGAACCCAAAAGCGTCCATGAAGGGTTAGGTCCTTTTGGCGGGTCTATTGGGGGGGGTCAGAATCAATTGCAATTATTTAACATATCTGACCAGCCAGCCAGACTGTCAGGAGTTTGTCCCTGGTTAAGGGGATGAGCGAGCTTCCAGTCCTTTTGATCGGGGGATCCAAACACCCTGATCGATTGCTCGCTGACAGGTCCTACCGCGGAACCAATGCACAGGCACTGCTCTGGGGTGAGGTGACGTCCAACAGTAAACTATAGTAAACTTCATCTCAAACACACCTCCAAGATCCTACAAGATCTATGACCAAATCCCTGAACCCTTTGGCCCTCCACCCGTTTCTGACTGGTGCGACTCGTAGGGAATGAGGGAAGTTTCGCTCCCAATAGAGATTCCAGAATGGATCCAGCCATCCTCAGACACCCTACTTTGGTCACAAGTCAGGACATTGGAGGTCACTCCGATCACTCAGTTGAGATCCGCTCCGACCGTCGCCGTCGGTCTCTCCGACCGCGCCAGGAGACACGCTTCGAGCGCGCGATGGCGTCACGAGCTGAGCGAAGAGACCGTGACCGTGACCGTCGCTGACTGGAAGAACCGCCCGGTCGCGGCGTAGAGACGTGTCGTTTTCTAACTGATTCACGGACTGACAGTATTTGTTTATATTTGTTTAAGTTTAAGCGTTTGTTGTCCATGCATTGTAGACTCGCTTTTTCTCTTTTCCGGCTGAAGTCCCTGCTTTTAATATCTCTCTCTATATTCGGGGACCAAAACTCTCCATCTGCAAATGCACATCCTCGTGGAACACATGCATGAAAATGCACTTGATTGCTGAGCTAACCCATCTTCCTAAACTTAGATTAAATGAAAGAGGTAAGCAGATGCAAGCAGTATACAGATACATGGCATTTGTTGATTGTCACGTTCCCTTCCACGACAGCAGGGAACCGTGTCTCAATTTGAGACACTATAGCTTAGCTTGTCTTCAAGATGCTTGTAGCATTTTGCTGTTGACTCCCTTTGTGCTTTTGTTCATCAGATCCGCGCCTTTCAGAACTGATCAGTGAGACCTGAAGGTCCTTCCATGCAGAGATGCGGTACTTGCAAGAACAAGGGCTAGATGTTAGCACCTTGGCCGCCTGCCTGAGGGCCTCCCATGAGGGCCCGAGTCTGAAGGAGAACTCTAACCGAAAGATGAATCATGAAGTCCTCTCTACACAAGGATGTATTTCTTTCCATTCAGACACTGGTCGTTGGAGCGAATAGCTGTCTCGCGAGAGACAGGCAAGCTGCACCAATCAGCCGCTGGAATCTTAGATGACTTTGATGACATGGAACACATCAACAAACACAACAATTGGAAACTAGTGGTGTTGCTTTGTGTGCTTTTTCCATTGAGGATGATGGTTTCTGTTATAGAAGACTCTTTTCCATGATCGCAACCATGCGCAATGGCCATCCATCTTGGGGGTGCAGGCTTTTTGAATATGTTTGATGTTCTATTCCAACTTATCGATGATCGCGTTTTTGCGGTGTTGTGTTTTGCCATTTTATCGTGACTTGCATAGCCGTGTTCCAACTGCCGTTATCCCACTGGCCATGTTCGAACTGCCGTTCTCCCACTGGAAAGAGATGAATTGGAGATTAGAGGGCCCCCCCCAAAAATCCCCCCCCCTTTATCACTATATATTGAAACATTGCATGCACGCGTTGGATCATCATCACCGCTTCAGGCGGAGATTGCTGCTGTACAAGCAGAGCAGGTTCAGATGACACAGATGGCAGAGGAGCAGATCGCACAAGCCCGCATGGCATATGCGGCGCAGATGGAGCAAGCCCAGATGGAGCAAGCCCAGATGGCGCAAGCGCAGATGGCACAAGGGCAGATGGAAGCTCAAGTGCCGCAGGAGCAGAATGTAGAGGCCAGGCGGTTAGGCCAAAAAATGCCAGACATGCAGTCAGACTAGGCAGTCAGCTGGTGGAGGCATTCTATACAATCTCCCTGCGGAAAGTAAAGCCTGAGATGTTTGTCCCAAACACTGGTTGACCAGAGCTTACCACATCAAAGCGCACGGCAGAATCATTCAAAACAGCAAAGAAAAAAGCTCTTCTCGTGTGGGGGTCATGTCAGCTTTGACTTCGATGTCCTTTCTTCAGAGCCTTTTCTTGCTGCCATCATTTACTTTGACACTTCACATCCAAGACCTCCGATGAGGCTCATGATGGTCAGACAGGAAGTTGAGGCACGGTTTCACACTGTCATGCTTGACAAGTTCCAAGTGCAGATGACCCTGGCTCGGTGCAGTAAAAGACTCCAGAGCAGAACTGGCAAGACAAGACCGAAAGCCAGGTGGAACGCATGATGGGGGCAACTCAACTCCTGTACAGACTTTGTGACCCTCAAGTGGAGGCGAAGTTTGTCTAAGCACTCTTGATGTAGGTTTGTTTCAGGGTCGAATCACCAACTGAAAAAGCTCTCCCCACCGAAGACATGCGACGAATCAGGCAGCTGTCGAAGACATGCGCCCAAAGTTGGAAGCCCCAGAACTGATGAACGGCTTAGCCGGGCTCAGCTGCCTAAGAATCCTGCGCGGTCCAGAGGACTCTAGTCCAAAATCAGTGTACCCTTGCCCAGCCTTCAATCCTTAGGGCTCAGCTGCGCCTAGACTCCCGTAGCCGCGCGTAGCTTGGCGTTGGGACGTTGGGATGTCATGATGAAACATGATAAAACATTTGAAAGCCAAGATCAAAATGGATCGCGATAGCAGTGGAGCATTTCTATGGCTTAAAACCAATGATGATATTATATATATATAATACGTGACAGTGATAGCTCTGAAGCCTGTAGTTTCTCTCCCAATGACCTCTTCCTCTGAGGTAATCTGACTCCGTCTCACCAGTTTCACCGAGTGAACGGCGCGATGCATCGTCCTTCACAGCCGAGCCAGACCACTTCGGTAGAAGGTCTAACATGATCCACTTCATCCCACTTTCACATTGCTTAAAAAAAAACCGTCAATTCTCTTGGCGAGGCGGTTCCTTTTTCATGAAGACATGTCAGGCGGTGTGTTCTTTGTTGAGATCCGAGATGTTCATGGTGTTCTCGCCGAAATCGGCTTCAGCCAGCGGATGGTTCGATCGAAAAGCGCCACATCCGCCGTGTGGCACACGTTCCGAAGATGTCCTGCTATGTCCTTACTTGTTTCCATTTAAAGTCTGATAGATGCTGATCAAAGGCCATGGGGGGGAGCTTTAGATGCGTAGCATGATGTAGCATGTATCCTCGTTTCAAGAGGCTTTTCACCTGCGTTTTTGAGACTTTCCGTGATTCATTCTGCATGCTTTTGGTCGTGGAGCCGGTCTTGCTCAAGATGCTTTGTCTCCTTTTGCTGCTGTTGGGGGCAACAGCCAGCGATGAGACACCAGATCCTCCCGGCACCGGCTGCGATGGGTTGGATTTCTCGGTGATGCGGGTGAGAAGCCATGCCTATTATCAGAGCGGAGTCTTCGAAATTGTCGACTCGGAACGGGTGTCACGCATTTTGGAGAACCGAGAAGTCATGAAAGAGATTTGTCCTGTGGCCCTGCTGCAGGCCATCTTGTTGAAGCTGGAAGAGAACTTGATTTATCAGCCGGATGCCTTTCAAAGCCTTATGTCACAATATGCCTTGTATCTGCACGAGGCGATTCGAAACGAGCTGGTCACCAGCGATGAGATGGCCATGTGGCCATTAGATGAAGGAATTCAGCGAGTGAGTCATATCAGCCAGGCTCTTATGACTCGCAGGCCGCTGACCAGTGCCATGGTGATGAATTACTGTCAGGTCGTGGATCGTTTTGGAGCACATCATGAGTTGCAGTGGCTCTTGGAGCCTCCTTTTGGTGAGAATGTGGGAGGTGATACTGGCTTACTCACCCAGACGGACTTGTACATCTATCAAGTTGACTGGCCATGGTGTCAGCCGTTGAGGGAAGAGGTGCTGATGAAGCTTCGCAAGGCGGTCCGGAGCTTGCAGCTTCTGAATTATTCTGGGGGACCCAAACGTGAAGAACAAACGGCGTACTTCAAATATATCACTGAGAACTGGGAGAATCTACCAGACTTCACCATTTTTTGTGCACCCGGATGCAGATGAGCATCAAGGCCCGGCCTTTCTAGCGCTCCAACGTGCTTTGAAGCTGATCCACACGCAGTCTCAATTCGCCTATGCGTCCTGGTTTCGCTTATAAGGTGATTGCTGATTTTCTACTATATATGGGCAAATCCATGTAAATCCCCTTCTGGAACATATGATCTATTTCTTCCAGGTTCCTACAAGCAAATCCAAGGAGTCTTTGGCATATTACCCCTTAGCACAGCAAATGGTGGTGGATCCAATGCGCACGTGGGGCACCCACTTTTCCTCGATCTGGCAGAAGTTTTGGCTGCGAGTCTTCGGGCGCCCGTGGGAAAGCCTGCGCTCCTCGCGTCGCGTTTGAAACCTTGGACCAGACGTCTTCCGGAAGGACCAGAGTTAGAAGGGTCAAAAAGGACAAGAGAATTCAGATCTGTACGTCTGTACACATTTGGGCTGATTGAGGTTATGAAGCACCCCGGTGCCGCTGGAGCAAAGCCCCCGGCTATTTCTTGCAGGGGCATGCTGGGGATGGCCGTCGTGAAAGTTTGCCAGCCGCGAAGGCCGCATCCGTGTTTCAGCATGCAATGCCAAACACCGCCAAACACGGCCTTAGACGACCACATTTTAAAAAGGGAGACCTCCCATAGACCTGCCGGAAGATCAATAGACCAAAACCCATTTGCTTGGGCCAAATGGGTCTCTCCCTTGTAAAGTGCAAACCCATACGACTATAGCTTCATCATGCTTTCATCGATTGGTGCCTCGGAACATCCTTCGCGAAAACACTTACCGTCCCGTGCTCCGTTGGGCTCTGCCAGGCCACCTGTGCTCAGTTGGAGGACGAGTGTGGTGGTGTCACTTGTATGACACCTTTGGACCCAGAAGAGGAGGAAGCCTTGACCATGGGACGAATCCGGCACTCCTGCACCGCTCGGCGTGGGGTGGAAGGGCTGCAGGACTGGTGCTGTGCCGATGATTCGAGGGACTGCAGGGGCCTGGTGGAGTCGGGATTTGATGGTTTGGTCAATTGAGCCAACACTTCCCTTCAGAAGAGCCCATTGGAACCAACCAATTCTCGATAGGTTTGGAGCAATGCTCAATGGTTGTTTTGGAGCGCTCTTTTTGTTGTTTAACATCATGTGACATTTCACACGTGAGCTGGAGACCTCGAGCTGGCGCGAACGAAGGAAAGGAGAGGCTCGGATGGTACGAAGGATCGGTACTGTATGGCAAAACGGAGGGTGGATAGGCCTCCATTGGGGTTTGTGCAAAACACAAACCAAACCCTGCAGGAATCTCCTGAAGGTGAAGTGAGTTATCTCAAGTTTTGTGGACCTTTGGACCACGACTTCACGGAGATTCCTGAGATTCGTGACCTCCCCACAGCGGGGCTTAGCGCCACCTACCACGAGACGAAGGACGCGTTCCTGGCGGAGCATCCGCCCGGCGAGGAGCAGATCCGCGGACAGGCGGACACACGGCGACGCTGCGATCTGGTGGAGGACCCGCAGAGATAGACCGAGCATCTATTTAGGGGAATGGGGTATATATGGTATATAGACCGAGTTCCAACAGAGAAGCGGAAACATGTAATTACCATTTAGGAAGACCGTGAAAACTTTCCCTTGAAGACCATTTCGGGGGTTCTATGTGACACTTACCCGCTTTTAAGGCTTCCTAGTTGGTGCTGGTCCTCCTCAGCTGGGTGGATCCCCCAGCTGCCGAGAGCCAAGAACACACTTCGTTCTTTTTTTTCCGGAACAAAGAGAGATGGTCCGACTCGTGGTATCATGTGCTTATCACCACTTTGGTAGGCTCCAGAGCGTCGTTGGTGTCGTTCTCTTTCTGATTTTGGTGGTTGGACAGTCCAGGAGCGTGATATGGGCAAGCGGGGTGGATGGTCTCATGGTGCATTTGCATGTGGTTCCTTTTCGATGCACAACTATTGATGGTCATCAGTGGAAAGAATACCCCCCCCAAAGGAATTTCTCCACCTGCCCTCCAAAGGGGGGCTAGTCGTTCTTCCCGAACCGCTGTGGTCTCTTTTTTGTAGAGTAGCGAGCTTGGAGGATCATTAGCCCATCCAAATCTTGATTCACATGTTTTCGAAGCGACGAATTCAAGAAGAAGGTCCACCAGTTCACTGAGTTTACCTGTGGACGTGCGCGTTCGGCGAACAGCTGACCTGTGAGGACTGCCATGGCTTTACCTGTGCTGCGCCAGTGGTTGCAGAGCCGTCCACGACGAAGCAAGGCTATGCGGAACTGATGGCTTCACAGCGCTGCACGTTGCGAAGGGGCGAAGAACTCTTTGAGAGTCCCAGTGGAGAGGCAGGAGAACAGGAGAAGGGTGGAGAACATGGGGAAAACGAATCCTTTTGTTTTTTGGGGATGCGAGAGGATGTGAATGAACTCGGGATTGCTCACATGTCTCATCCTGGAGCATTGCTCACATGTTGTCCACAGATGGTCCGGTTGAACCCTGATGGTCACGCGCCTACCTCAAAAGGTCTTTTCCTGAAGAGAAGAGATGTGCTTATCTTGAGTGGTTCAGGGAATGCACTATGCTGATTATTCACAGGTTAAATACTCTTTCTAGCAACCAATGGGTGATTTGCAACGTTCTCTCGAACGGAAAGAGCTTTGGGACTCGTCCCGGCGCAGACTTCTGCAGCCTGGAAAATCTCAGAAACCACTCAGCTTTACTCAGTGACCGGCGCTGAAGCATGCCTGATGGGCCTGATGTCCGAAGAAATCACTTCGTCAAAGAAAGGCAAACACATCCAGCTGCAGCTGCAGCTGCAACTATCCTTTTTGGCAAGGCAGCTAGTCCACTAAAATGATTGATGTGGGCGAACACCTACTTTATGAGCATCCTTATTTTTTTTTTCTTGAGTCTCGCTGATGATCTTTTGCATGTCCACTGGGATTGGAGAGCATATGAATGAGATGATCCCAAGATTCACATTTCTTGCCCACTGTTTTCGTTGTGTCATGTTCTTTACAAGGGTGTCTTGCTTTCCGGCCAAGTGAACAATTTGTTTTTTTGGAGAAACCAAAGTGGAGTGCCGACCAAAAATAGCCGTCCAGTTCTTTTGGAAAGGCCCTCGAATATGGACCAGCAGGACAAAACCTGTCGAGGTAAAAGTCTTGAATCAGCAGATCCAGCAGGAATGGGGTCCAGGTGGTGCATGGATTTTCTCCACCTCGGTGGACGTGTCACACTCTCAGTATATGTCCTTCACTGTCGTCCTGTCAAGTGGGATAGTGATATCTGATAGAGTGATAGAGTTGGCCAAATCCCCAAAAGTGGAAACTGGTCATATTTTCGGTTTGGTATGGTTTGGTCATATTGTAGTATAATTTATGTCATATTCTATCTGCTCCAGGCTGCTTGTATTTGGAGTTCATCTTGCTTTGCTCCTCAACAACTTCGCCAGGTGTCCTTCGTCAAGGTCTATCCCGCGGCGCCCGCGGCCGGCGTGGCGCATGGGAAGGCGGACGCCAGTCATGTTTTCCAGTTCTATACCGGCAGCCAGGCGATCGTCCGCAAGGCGCGTGGCGCGTGATCGTTTCGGTTGTTGAAAAAGCGTCCTCGAGCTGATGGATAGGCTGGACTGGAGACGACGCTTGGGACGGACAGGGGGAATTGTTTTGGAAGTCCCAGTGGGGGTGGCGTTGTGTCTTTAGGACCGGCAAGTGTTTAATCAATTTAGTACTACTCACAGAATTGACCAGAGATTGAAGAGGACAGCAGTTCCTAGCTCATAAACATCCAATACTTCGAAGGCATGTCAAGAACCGGTAACTTCTTGCGGTTCGGCCCCCATTGCATGGATGCATGCTGGTGGTCTGACCCGCCCAACCCCTATTGAGCCCAGATGCCAGGATCGGCTGCAGTGGTGGCCCCTGCAGGAGCTCAGGATCTTTGGCGCTGATGGCGTTTGGTGTTCCAACACCACTGGACTCTTCGAGGCCACTCGACCAGAGTTCTTTTGGCATCTTGTTCCGTTCGTAGCGATACCAGATGTCTGATTCCAGGTGAATGGCCCGTAGGCTTAGTGAGGAGTGCATCGGAGGATCCGACGTGGTGCGTATCCTGCGGTGATCAGGGAGCGACTCAGGGAGCGATCGAAGAAAAGGGCGGCCCGTGATCATCGGATCCAATATATAATTCCGTGGAGTCTACCCCGGCCAAAAAGCTAAGCATAGAGAAATTGAGTCAATACCTGGCGGACAAGTGAAGGCCCACCAGATCCCAAAAGCAAAACCAAGCTTCTCGAGATAAGCATGGAAACATCGAGAATGAAAGAGCACTGCTTTGGGAGCCAAGAAAGTATGTGTATCTTAATAGGGAGACCTCCCAGATAGACCCCCTGGAAGGAGGAAGACAGACCAGTCTATGCATTGGGTGGGGTCTCCCTACTTGAATACCCACTCATATACAATCAATTCGTTCACTAGTCATCACTTCCCAGGCAGTCTGGCATCGAATGTTCGGCGAGCCTTTGTCTCAACATCCAAGAGAACATGATCCCGATGTGCACCTGGGCGTCATGATCGATCCTGTTTTTCAGTGCCGAGTCAAATTAGCATAAAGTTCAATGTTCAAGCTATGCCAAGTACCTTGACCGATGACCATAAGGTTGTCAAGGTGCACATTTCGCAGTTGGTGTTACCAGACCCCAAGCCAACGCGGAAGGTTAAGAAGTATTAGATAGTCAGACCATGTCAGACATAATATATGGCTCCGTATGACTGCAACTGGAACTGCTCCAAATAAAGCCATTGGGATGACTTCACAAGTTTGATCCATCTCGATTGAACGTTCAGAAGCGATGTGGGGACATATCTTTACATGTCTTGACAAAACTGTTCTTGCTTAAAAAGAAGGAGTGTACATACAGGTACAGGTAGATGTGTCTTTCTCACCAAACACATCCAAACACTCATTTCTAGCATCTTGGAAATGGGAGTCTTAACTTGCTCGTTGATGGCTGCTGATCAAGCTTGAAAAGCCAAGAGGATTCTTTCCAGGGTTCTTTCCACGGGTCTAATCACACACATGCATAAAGAGCGAAGTGTCTTCTGAGTCTTCTGTCTTAGCCAACTCCGTCTCAGGGGCGCAGGCACACAAACAAAGATACCCACTGATAACTGGGCTTTCCTTGGCATCTTCAAGCCAAATTCATCTTTGTTTGAAAGCAAATATTGCATCCTCTGTCACCCTCCACACATGGTCGACTCCTCATGTGTCGAATGGTCATTGTCATTGTCCAGATTCACCACACCTCTCCACCTTTTGAAGTTCAAGTCCCGAGGCCACTCTACCTGAAGTGGGGCATCCCCACGTGGTACTCTTTCGGCGACGAGGAGACGATCTGATCCATCCCGACGCCCGCGGTTCTCCGCGCCGGCACGCCCGCACGCCCGCCCTCAGAACGGCGCCTCGTTGCGCTCCTGTTGGGAGGTGCCTGGGGGGGTGGCCAAACGTACCCTAGCAATTCACCCGTGGTTTGGACCATGTGAAATCCGTTGAAATCCGTTGAAATCCTCTACAAACCAGTGGTTTGGCGGGTCCATGTTAAATCTGCAGGAGGGTTCCGGGAGCCCCGAGAGAGAAGATACATGTGGTATCATGTGAGTCGCGCAGGAGACGAAGCGATCGAAACGTCGATTCTTCACATGGTTTTAAACGGGAAACGTGGAAGTTACGTCCCTGTTCGTAGAGGAAGACGGTCTTGCTTTCGGGTGCAACCGACGTGTTGAGCAGTTGCCTTTGTGCTAGTTCACTAACTAACTACTCTCACTTGAATCTAACGACGGCAAGTCTAGCAGTCTAGCACAAGAAAGACCTGACTCCAAAATGAAACAACTTCACAATACGTTAACAATTCCATGATTCTGACTGGCATCCACAAACACCGAAACGCTCTTTGGCCGGACACCCGGAGCGCCCTCTCCTTCCGGAGGCACACTCCTTCCAGTCGGGCGTCCTCTCGGTGGTCCAAGAACTCAGCTCCGGTGCTGGACGGCCAAAGGAGCCCAGGCTGAGCGAAGCAAAAGACGAGATACAAGGACAACAGGGTAAGGCCAGGAGCCCCGTTCGTAGCGTCCTTTGCTGCTAGTAGCGATGCCAGGAGCCCCGATCGTAGCTTCTTGTTCCTATATATTATAGTAGTCCTTTGGGTCATGTTTTGGTTAGTCTTCTAGCTACTGGGGGGGCTTGCTGGTGACCGTTTGCTCCCAATGTCGTGGACAGTTTCAGGATCCAACTCGGCGTCCAAACCGCAGCCATTTTCTTGTGCTCTCTTCAGGAAGGAAAGCGCCAGCCCAGAGATTCTTAGATCTGTGCCAGCAGCCACACAGAAATGAACTACTCGACAGATTCTACAAGGCTTTTGGCATTCCTGCTCACCTTCTGCAACAGATCATGTCCCAAATCCGCTCTTTTGACAGCTGTTTTTTAGGCTCGACCAAGAGCCAGGGACCAGAGAGCTAGACTCGTCTTAGACTCATACAGCTCGTCTAATTTACTGTACCAGGACCATCCTGTCGGGGTGTCCAATGGACTACCGGACTACCCTACACTACCTATAGGCTTCCAGACAGGGCACCCCTTGGATGGTCCAGGTAGATGTTTGTTGAAGTTGCTGTTGCAAGGATAGGAGTATCCACTGTCGACAAGGATATATCTAACATATTGTGGCCACGCTAAGTCACCCAGAGTTGGTCATGATGTGGAATACGTGGAGGAACAACAAATCATAAGTAGGATACCCCAAAATAATCATGGTGGCTACATGGAGGAACAACAAATCTATGGTTTTGGCAAGAACCACACGCTTGCCATGTTCCAAGAGCGGCCTAGTAGATTAGCAGATCTAAATGCTTTGGAACAGTTCTGCCAAACAAACCGTTGCCAATATGTTAAATAATGTGGGGGCACCATACTTAAGTTGGTTTAACGATGTTTAAATGTGGAACATGGATAAGACATTGTGGGAAATACCATGAATGGAGCCTTACTGGATGAAACAGTTCCACAAGCCGCCTCAGAACTCGGCTGAGCAGCTTGGGGCTGCCATGGCCCTGGCAGTTTCGATGTAGCGTCGGAGCTAAAGCACAAGGCATTGCCAGCATCGGGAGTTTTGAGGATATGCACATGTTCCAGACCCGTGTAGGATCTTTTGGGCGGAAATTCCTCAAACACAGACAGTATAGTCTACGCGGCTGTGTTCCCCGCTGAAGGCAAGCATGGAGTGAATCACAGGTTTTGAAACCACTGCTTCCCCCCGCCAGCATCGTGAGATGTTTGATCAACAAAAAGCACTCCCTTGTTGGGCTCAAGGCGCGCCATGCACAGCATGTCATCAGTTCCAAGATCACAAAGACTCTATAGGTTGCAAGATCATCGGTCGCATGTTCCACCCATCATGGGTCGCATCGGACACCTTCACAGCGTTCCCTGGACCTCCACATTTGTTCCTGCAGCGTCGCGTCGCGGCGTCTCGGCTTCTTCCGCTGTCGTGGCCCTTGCCATGAAGCGCAAGCATGAGGATGGTCTTCAGGAGCTTCGAAAGCGCGCGGGAGAGCTGGTGGCGAGTGCCAGCTTGGAGAATGGAACTGTCAAGGACACCGACGCGCCATGGACATGTTCCTGTGGGGAGATCACATCAGCGCGAAGACCCAGCAACCCGCAATGGACATGTTCCAAGCAGCACCAGGGGTTGCCGGGTTGCCTGGTTGCTGGAAGGCATGGTAGGCTCAGTGAAAAGCCACGCACCTGAGCCTCCGGTGGTAAAAAGGAATATTGGTTTCACATGAATAGGCAGTTTGTCTACAACCTACAACATTTAACATTGATACTTGATGATTGTTAGTGGGATGTTCTTACAGCATGTCAAGTTGAGACACAAACTCTCCGAAATGAACACATTATGGTGGGGGCAACTTAAGATGGTCAAAAGTTGGATCAATTCCATGCTCAGTGGCTGAAGGTCCGGGATCATGATCGTTTGCGTACGGTGTAATGAAAGGAAGATCGGTTGCTTAGGTTAGCTTTGTTTTGTGTTCACCTGTTTTCACCTGTTTTTCAATGTGTTTACTTTAAGAAGTTTGACCTGGCCCATCTTTGTTCAAACCAAGATAAGAGGAAGGATGACTGGATGCTCCTGTTCCAGCCCAGCATGTTTCAGTTCAATATTCTAAGAAGGAACAACTTCTTTATGCCGAGGCAAAGCAATGAGTGTTCCCTTTTTGCTTGCCAAACAAGATTGGGTAAAGTTTGACGGAGCTCAGGTAGTATGTCAATTAGAAGTGGAATTCAATCATTAGCCATGTTTTTTGAGAGTCAGGACTCGTATAAGAAGCTGATCGCAGAGTTTCTAGAGGCTGGAGGGCCCCCGGATGATGTGATTGTCAAAATTGGTGACCTGGTACTGCCTGAAACTGCTTCATAATTTTATGTTTTTTGTGTTCGATGTACGTTTCCCTTGTTGAATTATATTGAATTTTGGCAATCTTTTGGTAAATAGAGAGCTGTGCGTCTTGTATCTCTTCCGGGCCCCTTTCTCCGCTCTTCCTTCTCGATCTAAGGTCAGCAATTCTTTGGATGTCCAGTTGCAAAGGCCAACCAAGGACCTTTGCAGGCCATGCATGTGGAAGGGGCGAAGCGCCTCGACTTCGACTACTTGGAGAAGTTCATGGTTGATTGCTTTTTAGCAGCAGGAGACCCAGTTTGTGGCTTGGGCATGTGTTCAGCTGTTAACATTAGACGCATACCATATGATCAAATATGTGCATGTGTTCTTCCTCAATTTGGTCTCAATTTGGTCCATGACTTTCATGGTTACGTTTTATGATGTTTTATGTTTGTTCTGAGCCCATGGGGAGTGCCTGGAAGTTTACGTTTACACCGTGCGTCTTACTCTGAGAGACCTTGCGCCTCATAGGCTTCGCAAGTTGGAGGATCTCAGAGTCCCATGTTGCCAACACAAGACGCTCGTATTCATGGCCAACACGACACGAGTTCG